GCAACCAGTCGTTACACAGATTTTCAGCTTCAAGCGCCGATAGACCGGATGGTTCAGCACCGTGCTGCATGAGGGACAGAATCATGCTAGCAATTTCTTCTTTGGTATGCTCCCTTTCCTTCTTGGAACGGAACCATCGAAGAGAAATGTCGAAAATCATCAACCGCTGCAGCAGCAATGCACAGAAGAACTTCTTGCAAACAATCTCATCCTCTGTGTAACAAGGTGTAGCCAAGAACTCTTTCAACCGGCACAGAGAAAATTCCTGAGGTAGGATAGAATGGATCCATACACTGGTTTCCAGCTCTGCACACTCTGTATCCCAGCGGTAGTAGGGAAGCAGTAACTTCCAATTCGAGTAACGATCAGTAATCGAGTACACGGAAGATGCAGGTGGTGGGTAGCATGGACAGGACCACAGAGCCAGGCACATATCTCTGTCCTTTTCTGCATTGTCGCGGCATGATAGGCCATAAAAGCGACATACACATGCGGATTCTGAATCCATATCTCCATTATTACACATAGAGCAAGGTAATTGCAATTCCTCGCTAACTTGGAGTGAGGTGTGATGAGGTGACTCGCCCAATGACAGCAGCTGTTCCACCATTCTAGGCAGCCCCAGGTGAACTGCCAAAGACAAGGAGCTGAGCTCCACTAGAAACTCCATCGGAAAGCTTCTCTTAGAGGGAACTCTTGACATGAGCGTGGTTGACACATCTGCACCCCAGTTCACAAGACAAGTTATCATCTCCATACACTCAGCCAGAATAGCATAGTGCACAAGAGTTGCTTTGACAGTTGTGAAGGCACAGTTATGACATTCGTATACATTGTTGATTAGGTTAGTTGTTGAAAGTGTGGTACAACGATTCTGTTGCTTGTTTACCAAAGCACAGTCATCGCTTCTGGCACTCATGCAGCTTTCTCTCTCGGCCTTTGTTGCACAACTTACCATCTCCGTGTCTGTTGGACGTCTCGTGGCCTTTGGTGACAGTTGTGAAGGGACGTCTACAATCATTCGTAGCCGACAAGGCGAAGTCGTAGGTCCGTTACCATAGCCTTCAGAACTCTCAATAGCAAATGACACTGAGCGACCATCGGGCTGTTCAGCACTCGCAGTAGTGTCAATCGTCCGGAAGAGTGCTTCAACTGTCTCCACATTTCCACTGCACACTGATGTTCGCAGAAAGTCACGGATAATTGTATGATCTTCACTGCTACATGTCAGGCTGCCGTCGTCTTCTTTCACCACTGACACTGACACCAGGCTGGCATCTAATGTGATGGCGTGTTGCTCGCTAGGATTCACTGCCTGGTTCGAAACTTGGCGAAAACGTTGCAAATCCAACACATGATTCCTGAGAGACATGCACTCAGTTAACATTGACACTATTTCAAGCCCTCGCTGCAGACTTTCCATCTCGCTCACCTAGTACATGTTACTGCCAGCACTCCAATCTAAAGAGGAACTACAGTCTGTACAGAGAAGCACGAGCAACGAAACGTGGAAAAGGCGAAATGTTCACTGCAAACTACAATGACTATGTACTGATGCTAGTCGCCAACAGAACTAACTGAACCACGTGTTACCATGTTACTTCACTCTTTAGAAGATAGAAAAGCGCGCGCAGGCGCTCTCTAGACTACTGTGAGCACTATGCTGCTAGCTAGCTGCGTAGGCCTAGCTAGGAAGTCACGGTAAGGACATGCTAGCATGCAGCCCTTCGCGATCGATCGCGCTGCGCGCCGTGCGCGGCGGGCTGTGAATAAAGAGTTTTCGCGAATTCGCACGGCGTGCAAAGCGCTCACTTGACGCGTTCGAAGGTCACGTGCCGGCCACGTTCAGAAGCGAGGCAAACGCGCGTTGCCAACGTGGAACGCGGCACTTGATGGCCCAGCACGTGCGATTTACGCAAAGTTAGTTCTACAATCACGGTTCACCATGTTCACCTGCTGCTGCGAAAGCAGCAGCCAGGCGCAGGCGCATAGTGAAGTCACAGCTGACGAGTATGAGAAGTGGAAGTCGGGCCATATCCCTCTCTGCAACCGCACCTGGCGTTTTTGCAGAACGCCAGCTCATGTTGGATAGTATTAGAGTGGCCAAGGCTGAGAAGAAGATGAAGCAGGAGGAAAAACAGCGAAGGAAACAAAGGAGGAGGTGCAGGAAGGGAATTGAAGAGCAGATTGTGGAAGCTGAGGGTGTCACATACGAGGCTGGTGGGTTTTAGTGGGAACAATAGTCTTAGAATCTATGAAAAGGACACCTAAATGTTTGTGCTTTTTGGCCTTTTTCTGCCTTCTTGGACATGATTGCGGCTAGTGTGTTTATTTTAGACCTATCAACCCATACATTTTTGGAATCAGTGACTTGTTGCGCAGGGATTGAACTACAATGGTGATCATAGGACCTTTTACATTGGATTTTGAGCTCCCACAGTGCCTTCTATTTTACGCGTTTTGCGGCTCGTCCTGTTTTGTCTCTGAATTTGGGGTAGTAATACCTGTCAGATAGAGTTCATTGTAGTTCATTCCCTGCATAGGCATATGGACTGGGTTTTGCTGCATTTTGGAACTGTCTGTGTTGATACATCTTGCTGCAAAGTTGTCCAAAAAAATTGCTGTTTGTGCGCACCCGTGAAGAATTTGTGTAGCCCATCAAGCATTACTGGGATGAACTGTAAATTCTCTTTTTGGTGCCTACATTGTGGAGCAGTATATAGTGATTGAACATAGAAAATTTGAAGGCAATCTGCCAATCCGTTTTCATGATATGCCTATTTCAATTGTATGCGGTCTGATTTGGGCCGCGAATGGTGGTGTGCAAAGCGCTCACTTGACGCGTTCGAAGGTCACGTGCCGGCCACGTTCAGAAGCGAGGCAAACGCGCGTTGCCAACGTGGAACGCGGCACTTGATGGCCCAGCACGTGCGATTTACGCAAAGTTAGTTCTACAATCACGGTTCACCATGTTCACCTGCTGCTGCGAAAGCTCTTTTCAAGTGCGTCACGCCCGTGAATAGCCTCGGGTTCGGCCTTGTCACGTAACGTTGCACCCCGTGCGAAAACTCTCTACTTGTACTTACACTCAGGGCTTGAAAGTGATGACGTCAAAAACGGCCAGGAAGTAGTTGATTGAAGACTCGGCCTCATCACGTTGGCACTGTCCCCCCCCCCCCCTCTCTCATTCCTTCTGTCGTCCACATGTATCAAAGGAGGCGAAATCGCCTGTTTGTGGTGCGACGTTAAATAAACTTCTACAACAACAACAACAACACTTGATGGCCCAGCACGTGCGATTTACGCAAAGTTCTAATCACGGTTCACCATGTTCACCAGCTGCTGAGAAAGCTCTTTTTAATGCGTCACGCACGTGAATAGCCTCGCGTTCGGCCTTGTCACGTAACGTTGCACGCCGTGCGAAAACTCTCTACTTAAGCCTGGTTCACACTAGGCCGATTTTCCGGCCGGTGCTCCGACACCGACTCCGACATGGAGTCTGCCGACTGTGTCGACTGAGTCGGACGGCCTGTTCACACACGGGGAACGACTCCGATCCCTCGCAATAGAGTCGCATCGATTATCCATAAAAGCAAGAGTTCATGGGGGTTATGCAATTTTGGTAGGACTTTACATTTCATCAAGAGTACAAAAGTACAAAAGTACAAGAGGTCATGAGCTCGACATCGACGCTCTTTGCTGTCATGGTGAAAAGCCTACCGTGATTGGTCCGAATCCCGCTCCATCACGTGCAAGCAGTAAAAATCGGCCGGCTTTTCGGCTAAATATCGACCAGTCGATACTTGGCCGAAAACTAGTGCGACAAGAAAATCGCCGCAGATTTGTCGGAACCCTGTACGACAACACAGTTCACACTACGCAATTTTCGCCCCGATCTTGAGGATTTTTCGTACGAGTCCATGTCGGCCAGACAATCGGCCTAGTGTGAACCAGGCTTTACACCAGGGAGTCGTAAAATACTGATGGTGGTGGTGGTAAGAAGGAGAGCTCTGTGCCAGAACTTTGGAGCCTAGAGAGCGTGTGTGGGCAGGCGTGTGTTTACCGCCATATTACATTATTAGAGAGGTTTCGACCCGCATGATTTGTGCTCTTACGTGAACGTCAATTTTTTGCGTCGACGCGAGCTCAGAAAGAGCTTTCGTTTCACGTTGCTTGTGAAGCATTGTGAAGCATTTCGCTGACGACAGGAGCGAAAACTGGGAGCGAAAACTTCAAAAAGTGAAAAAAGTGATTTTTGGTGAGGCCAAAGTCGCACAAATATTATTTATAGCTAGTTTAGGCAAAATCGACAAAATCGAGTCAATAATCCCAACCTGATAGCAAGGCTAAATTTGAAAAACTCGCGTTCACGTCGAACGTGAGTTGACCTCAGCTCACGTCGTGAACGGGAGTTTCGACGCCAAAATTTGCCACACCGACGTGAAATTTCACGGTGTAGTGCAGAACAACGTGAAGCGAAACCTCTCTATTGCCAGGTGTGTCTTTACCACCATATTATCAACCATAAGTTGACATCAGATTTATATTTTGGATCCACTACATGTAAGGTGTGACTTTGCCTCATGAGCTCAGTATGTGGGTGCATAGCAACCCACTCATGTCGTATGCAGGGGTGACTTTTACTTCGCCACCAGTTGTAACCCCGCCCCCAGTAGCCAAATCAGTCAGTTTCACTGGTTACATCACCTTGCTGTGAGTAAGATGGCTTAATTAATGATTATGTGCTTGGATGATCCGATCCATACAAAAACTGGATCCAAGTGGATCCAGTTTTTGAATTTTTGAAATAATTGTTGCTATGCTGTGCCGTAGCACTTTCAAGCCCTACATAGCACGTGCGTTTTGCCAGATGACGGCCAATGCATTAATGGGCGGCCAGAATTTTTAAAAGCAGTCAAGATGTAACACGTTAGTTCTGTTGATGCGAAGACTAGCACTGAGTAGCAGTAGCCATAGTCATAGTCGCTCTCGCTGGCCACCTCCGTTTAGCGTCGTCAGCCAGATCATTCTCTCACTTGCGCACTGCGTGGGTGTCGGCATATCACTATGGGGCGACCTCAGTGAACTGGGTACTGACGTCTGTCACCAGCCGACATGAGATGTTGTTTAGAAACATTCATGCGTTTGTACTAGTACTACTACTACTGTGACTACTACTACAATATTTTTGTAGTGCAGGCTCAGGTAGAATGTGTAAGGCTCAATTTGAAGAAGAAGAAGTAGGACGAAATGTGACAAGTTCTGACTAACTGTCCACCAATGTAACCAGATCATAATACTGTCAGAGAGTACTTCTTCTGTCCTTCTTCTTATCCATGGTCATATTGGCTCACCTTCCGAGTTTTATTCGTTGACATTTTATTGCCTGAAAACTCTCCAAGTATACAGGAAGCGTGAGCAGTTGAGCACCATGCTAGGAGCAGCCAACTCCGTACACTATCTTTTTATTGTTTACACTCATGAGAACTGTTGCTTCACTCTCCTCAGCAGCTTTGCAGCCCAAATTCAGTAGACATTTGTCTGTTATTCAGGAGGAGGCAAGGGAAAGGATGGCCTGGAGCCACAGCTTCAGAATTAAATTCTGAACAAATTTTGTTTTACTTCGCATGGCCGCTGATGTCATAGTATTAGTAGTGAGCAGCAGAGAGTTTTCCTCTTAGTCAGATCGCATGCCATGAGCAGGTCAACGGGTGAGTTGGTTTCCCGTCTTCTTTTCTCCCTTCCCTTCGATGCATGCTGGCTGAAGCTGAGGTTGTGGAGGATGCGGGTGATGTACAGCAGCTGCAAGAGTTTGAGCACAGCGCACTGCAGAGTTTCCTCAACTCAAAGACGGAGCAGCAAGAAGAAGAGTCACAATCGGAAGGCAAACAAGTGCAGTCATCGGCTACCGAGCTTCTGGAAAGGTAGCGGGTGTGCGTGACTGGGACTGCTCTTTTAAAATCAGTTTGCCCATTTGTTTGAATAGGCTTGTGAAATGTACTGTATGTACATGCGTACTGTAAGATATGTAAATTATAACGAGGAAGCAAATCTAACGTTTTAAAAACACGGGTGACATTTCTTCGTTATAATAAGTTCTGTTGAGGCTGTAAGGCCACACATGTGATATGTGCGGATATGCCTGAAGACTGCGAAATCGTTATCGTATGCTCTCGTTAACCTATGGATTTTGGACAATCGTTAAATTTGCGACTCGTCATAATAACATGTCTTGCAGTAGACTTGACTCGAACACAGTACACGACCCGAAAAAGGCAAGCATGCCAACCTCTGCTGTGTGCTGTTCGCTGGGTCGGGTTTGCATGTCCACATGTTTGCTTTCTTTCTTACTGAAAGCTGCATGTACAATTGCATGCCCGGCTTGGTTCCTGCTTTCCAAGCCGCAAGTCATGACTTGTAGAGCACTGTGCCTGGGTACTACGTAGTCTACACCACACTTCAAGACACATGCACAATCTTTGTATGGTGGCAATGGAATAACGGTCTCCTCCGGGAAATCAAGCAGGAACACTATGTTCGATCTGGCATTGAACCTGATCTACATCTACGAATAGCAAGTTTTCGTTGGAACTTAAGCTGACAAAAAAATGAAGAAAGCGCCAATACACATCAGTCAACATGTCACTATTATTTTGCAAAGCTGTTGTATCCACGATGCATACTTGTACCAAGTTTTCACAGATATTCTCTCTTCCGCAACAGTCCAGTAAGACAATTTATACAGTTCTAAGTTTTCAAACCCACTTTGGCCACAAGTTCTGCTCGAACAAACAGTTTTTGATTTAGTTTTCAGGTTTTGGACTTGCCACTCCACACATTGGGTAATGTTTACGCAGTTAAATCTGCTGGTCGTGATAAAACTTGTTGCGGGACTGAAATCCCCGGGCCTAACGTCCTTCTAATAGGCATGTGCATATACACTTACTCTGCAGTCTCAATACTCTGCAGTCTCAATACTCTGCAGTCTCAACTCTGCAGTCTCAATACTCTGCAGTCTCAATAACCAAGCCCATTCCCGGAGGACTTGTGCAGAGAAACTAGGGAAGCGTTTCACATTGCTTCTGGTTCAAGTTAGAGCAAGAATTCCTTTGTGAAAGCCAAGTTGATTTCTGACAGGGCTGTAGATTTGGACATGTATGTGGAGAATAAATTCGTATAGTGAATTGACCCTGTGTCTACAGTGAGTCTGGAGTGCAATCCTAATACTGTACACCCGCTTACACATTGCGCAGCAGGAAACTGGCCAACACAGCTATTTGGCACAGACCTGCAGAAGCTATAGGTAGGAATGCAGAGCAAATTGCAAGCCATTGAAGCATGTAATGAATCAGAACGGACTACCAATGTGCATTGATTGCTTGCATAACGTACTCCTTTAATATGTGTTACTCACAGGCTGCAGAAGTGAACCCTGTCCTCCACGCGTTTTGTTTGTTTGTTTGTTTTGGAAATTTGTACTCCGGCCGCACTATTACAGGATGACACGGCTGGAGGCGACAATACAGCAACTCTGCACTGCAATCCAGACTCAAGACGATGCCGGGCACGGTCCGGCCTCAGTCTCGCGACTCCGGTTAGGCCCTGCTGGCCCAGCTGCGGATGAACTGCATAGCCTGGCAGGAAGGCTGTGATTGTCTCCTGAACTAGCCGGGTATACATGTATTTATACTGTGCAGTGTGCTAGTGATATCATGAACACTAGTATTGCGATCATGTTGTACACAGTCTTGATACCCCCCCCCCCCCTGCCCCAGTGCATGTGTGCGCATGCGAGCGCACACACACACATACACAGACAGACCGACAGACACACACACACACACACACACACACACACACACACACACACACACACACACACACACACGCATACCCCCCCCCCACACACACACAAACACACACACACACCACAGACACGCACACACACACACACACACACACACACACACACACGCACACACACGCACACACGCACACACACACACACACACATTGCAACTACAGCTTCTCATTTCGTAGCTATGATCTGGCTTCAAACACAATGGCTCAAGGAAAGCTTGTAGACGTTGTTTTGAAATTGGGATGAACTGCTGTTTGGCCAATCCGAATTGCCGCCATGATGCGAATATTTGCAGCTCAATAATGGCCCTGCTGGTTCATCTCTAAGTCCATTCGGAGGTTGATTTGATGGAAAAGTGATGCAGCTAATTGCATGCATCTTTCTGTCCGGCTTCAAGACCTGTTCCTTCTGCTTACTGTGCGTTCCTGTGGCAAATCATTTTTGTTGCTTCCAAATGCATTCCTATGCAGGTGTTGCGAATTTGTATTACGACTACTTCAAGTATGATTTACGCATGTCGTTGTATTTGGTTCTTGTCTTGTGGAGTTCAGTGTCTGATGTCAAAGATGGTCTAAGTGTACGCGCGAGTATGGGGTGATGTGTGACGTTTATGGTATGTGGTACATGCAAGAGTACGCGTTGTCAGAGTGTGAGGATGTGCTTCCGTCTATTTGAGAGTGACTGTCAAGTGAATGCTGTACATGCGCAGTGCTAGTTACTGTTTGGTCTGGGAAAGAGAGTCGTGTGTGATTCGTCCGTGGTCTGGTTGTCTTGGTACATGGTCTTGGTCATGTGTTCTGTACGTATTAGTCCCTGATTGGTCGTCACGATTTGTCCTCGCAGACCTCGGTTTATTACTGCTTGTTCTTTGTTGTTTTCGTTGAGTCTTTTCCCGGGAGTCCTTCCCGTTGTCCTTTTTGTCGTCTCCAAGTTTGTCTCTCTCCTCCTGCGCCCTCACCATTTGTTGATAGAATATAACTGAAGATATAACCAATAGTTGGCGTTGTTGTGTGGCGGGGGCCAGGGGGAGAAGCCTACTTCACAGATGCGTATATCCTACATGACACTATCAATGATAACTGGTTTCGTTGTCTTGCTTCTCGCCACAATCTGGTTTGTGGAACTATGATGTATGCGCGTGTGTGTGTGTATGCACGCGCGTGTGTGTGTATGTGTGCATGTGTGTGTGTGTCCCATATTTTTTTTTTTACTTTGTTCACATAACCAGCTCGATAAGAATAAGGAAAGACAATGGTACAGAGACTAGGACAAACGTGACAACTAATGAGCAGGCGCTGCACCGAGACGCAGCAGTGATGGTGGGGCATTGATGACTCTACCGACCTGAGGTCTCGGCGTCACGACCAAAAACACGCACCAAAAACAATGAAAAAAAGAAGAAGATAGAGCTGTACAGGTAAGAAAGATGCAAAACCCAAGGCTTAATTAACACGAGCGATTGTGGGGAAGAAACTGTCTTAGCATCATACTATTCATATGGTGCAGTGGTATGTGCAGTCGATTTCCAATCGAGAGGTTGCGGGTTCAATTCCCAACGATTATGGTCGCACACGTCTTTCTTCTCTTTCTCATTCTCCTTGCTCTTCTAATATTCTCCTGGGTGGTTACCAACAGCCAGTGCATGCCGGAGTATGTGGTGTGGCGGGTATGTGTAAAAAAAAAAGAATGAATGGTGTAATCCCAGCACAGGTTGCTATGTCTAACATAGCTGTTCGCTATCATCGCTCCAGCGATGGGCATGTCTGAGTCGATGTGTGTGTATGTGTGTGTGTGTATGTGTGTATGTGTGTATGTGTGTGTGTGTGTGTGTGTGTGTGTGTGTGTGTGTGTGCGTGTATGTCTGTGTGTGTATGTATGTGTGTCTGTGGTCATTTAAAAGCTGTGCGGTGTAGACCAGTGCTGGTCCATTCTTCAGCCTTGCAAGCTGTTGAATGGTGCAATCCCATCACAAGTTGCTATCGCTTTCTGCTGTAGCATTTCTATCATCATTTCAAAATAAAGCGTTCTTTTTCTAGCTCCTCTTCTTCCTCTTACATGTACTTTTCTTCTTCTTACTTGACTTGACAACGCTCAATGTGGATCTTTCGGGTTTAATTCTTTCCTCGACCATGCCTAGTGCCGTGACTAGTGCCGCGCGCACAAGAACTGCAACGTTCAACGACGTGCGATGCCCGACTTCTCAAGTCAAACAATTCCGGCATTTGCACGAAGATTTAATTTCGTACCGAGTGGATTTCTGTGGACTACAATAAACTAAGGTAATCGAACCTGTCGACAAGTGGCGTGGGTCAGGACACAGGCTGATTGGATTTGTTCACGAGGCGTTTGTCGCGCTGGAAACGGAGGGTCTCGGTGAGTTTGTATCCCTGGTGATATTTTGTGTCTGGAGAGCACTATACTATCTATACATGTACATATAAGTGGTGCTCTTCAGGCACAATCTTCCTCAGCCTACTCAAACTCAACTCATGAGCCTGGGGGAATTCCCCGAAACACTGTGTATCGAGCAGGGAATTCCCCGAAACACTGTGTATCAAGCAGGGAGTGGTGCTTTCTTGCAGGTTAACTGTGTATACTTAGTGGCAAATGAAAATGAATTTGAGAAGTAAGTTGATCACTATACCCGGTACATCACTATACCCGGTACATCACTATACCCGGTACATCACTATACCCGGTACATCACTATAACTATAACCGGTATATCACTATACCCGGTACATCACTATACCCGGTACATAACTATAACCGGTATATCATTATAATTTATACCCGGTATATTATTATTTTACTATAGCCGCCTACCTTATTACCGGCCACAAGCTGGCCATTAGGGTCCGGCAGATTCTGCCGGCAGAAAAATTGGCAGACTGATTCGGTACTTTTTCTGGTAAGTTTCATGCATGTTTGGTATGTGGATAAAGAAATGGAGCAGAATCCGAGGAATTGCCCGCTATAACTTATTAAGGGGGCACATCACCCAAAAATTCGCTGAAAAATCGAATTTGTAAATTCATATTGAGTGCTACGTCAGTTGAAAGAGCATGAATAGCTGCAAATTCTCTGAAAACTGTGTCCCTATCTGACCAGCCGTTCAAGAGTTATGGCCGAAAATGTGCCCTTGCAAGGAAAGATTTTTTTGTTGCATGCTGTCATTTGTTGGCAGCACTGTATTTGAATGTGAGCAGACCGTGCGCAACTTGTCGTATTATGGAAACACGCGAAAGTGTGCAGAATTTTGCCCCAAGTCCAAAAAAGTCCAAAAAATCACGTTAAAAAACCACGTATTGGGCTGCACGGCGGCGGGCGAAGCCCGCCGCCGTGCAGCAGGACTTTTGCCAGCACCCTCGTGACGTTGCAGATATGTGGCTTGATTATTGTAGTTGACGTTGATTTAGTGACCGTCGGCTTTGGCAAGTTTGAGTCGTGTCAAGAAGTCAGGTAGGATTCAGTACTAGGCAGTAGTGAAACGTGAGTGGCAGTCTTTGCCGGTTTCTGAGGGCATCCTGGATTTGGTTTGCAGCGCTGTGGAAATGGCTTGCTGTGGAGGTCCCAGCACTGGATGTTGTATCAAAGGTACGACCTCGTAGCACGTGCCAAACCTAAAAAAATTCAAAAATTGCCTTGGGTCTGTGGGAGTCCGTGAAAGAACGCCCACTCGTTCCGTTGTGACAGATTCCAGGGCCACGTTGAGGGGCCCTACCCCACCACCCATGGCTGCTTCTGGACTTGTTTTAGGTTTGGGTCCCGCGCACGGACAGAATGGGCACGAAAATGTGAAAAAATGTAAATGCATTTGTTTGGCTCCTGGGTGGCTCGCACACCGTAGCACTATGCCGGAAATTTGAGTTTTTCCGGCCTGGAAAGCCTGTCAGTGAGACGCAAGAACTTGTGAATCATGTCCTGAGGGCCAGCATAGTGGCAGGAGTGTGTGGTCAAAATTTCACTCAAATCCACTGAGAAACACCAAAGTTACGGTCAATTGAATGCCATATGAAATTTTTGGGTGATGTGCCCCCTTAAGGTTTGTATGGTTCCGCCAGTTTCACTGCGGCTTTTCGAGCAGAATCTGCCACCTTTTCGAGCAGAATCCGCTGGTCCCTACTGGCATTCCGGCCTGCTCACAGACTTGAGAACTGGCAGACAAAGAGCTGAAGAAGTGAAGATATACAATCATGTCATGTAGCGCCTCATTCTAAATAATTCTAAACAACAACGGTACTTCACTGCATGGAGCACCTTGCTGTAGTACCCATGGTAACAGTTATCTGCCGTCGCCCGTGGAGTGCCTTGCGAGTGTTATGTTGTTGCGCAGCCCGGAGCGCAGGGGTGCAAAGGCAACCAAAGTTGCACATCTAACTACAAGACTAGACAGGCGAACGAAAAAAACGAACACACAGTGACACACTCACTGATACGCACACACACACACACGCACGCACGCACACACACACAAACACACCAGTCACAACTGGACATCCGTCGGACTCTTGAGAACTAACTCCAATCAAACGGAAGTGAAAACGACCTGAAGAGAACAAGGCTCGATCGCAATAAAAAGAGAAAAAAAAGGTGAAGTCGTAAGGCAAATGCAGCGAGCATATTATAATTATTATGAAAGCAAGCTTAGCAATGGGCTCAGCGCGGAGAGCGAGTAGTTTATATAGCTGTGCTAAAGTCAGCAAAGAGCAAAGTATTGTAAAGTAGTGTAAAATTTAGAGTTTATTTTTTCATTTTATTATATAGACGGGAAACAATTTGCTGCTACACAAACTGGGTTACGGGTCCACACATACACAGGGGTCACTGGTCAACACATACACAGGGGTCACTGGTCAACATAATTATAACAGACACTGCCCTACACAAACTGGGTCACTGGTCCACACACAATGGGATCTGGTCCACACACAATGGGATCTGGTCCACACACAATGGGATCTGGTCCACACACAATGGGATCTGGTCCACACAAATACTGGGTCACTGGTCCACACAGACGGTCCTTGCACACACTGGGTCAGCAGCCAGTGGTATAGTTGATATGGTTCTACTGGTGATCATGTCATAAGCCCTTTAATGTCCAAACCTTCGCCATGACATCGAACTGAAGAATGCGACGGAGAAGTGGCGGTATTTCGAGCTTGGCAATAGCTGCAGCAGGACCGTACCATTGGCAAGCATTGATGACGGCGGAGCGGGACAATTGCGATAGTGAGCGTGGCTGAGGTGCTGGTCTGACAAGATCCTTAACGCTTACCTTGCGCTGCGCCTCTGATAATACCACTCCTTCACACTGGCATGACGGTCCGTTGTGGAAAAAGCCATCCACGTGTGGTATGTCGCTTGCTGACTGAATTCCCGGTATGCCACCGGCCTTTACCATAAGCTTCACTACCTTATCAAAGGGACCTATTCCTGGCAATAGCAGCATTCTACATACAGCTGGTGG